ATTTTTATTTCTATTTTTATTTCTATTTCTATTTTTATTTCTATTTCTATTTTTATTTCTATTTCTATTTTTATTTCTATTTTAATTTTTATTTTTATTTTTATTTTCGTTGTCATTTCTGGGGGTCCCACCTGGCCGGGGGAGGCGCTGACCCCAAATTTCCTTTTTTTTTCTCTTTTTTTTTTTTTCCCTTTTCCCCTCCTTTTTCCCTTTTTTTTTCCCCTTTTTCCCCCTTTTCCTTTTTTTTCTTTTCCCTCTTTTTCCCCATTTTTATCTCATTTCCCCCTCCCGCTTCTTTTCCTTTTCCTCCCATTTTAATTTCATTTTTCCCCCTTTTCTTCCCCATTTCCCCCTCAAATTTTTCCCTTTTTTTTCCTTTTTTCCCCTCCCCCAGATTTTCCCCTCATTTTTTCCTATTTTCCCTTTTATTTTTTCTCTTTTTTCTTCGCTTTTTTCCCCATTTTTTTCCCATTTCTCCCCAACTTTTCTCTCAATTTTCCCCCATTTTTCCCATTTTTCCCCATTTTTCCCAATTTTTCCCCATTTTCCCCCATTTTTCCCCATTTTTTCCCATTTTTCCCATGTTTTCCCATTTTTCCCATTTTTCCCATTTCCCGATTCCGCTCGGCACCGACCAAACCAAAAAAAAAAAAAACAAAAACCCCAAAAATCGGCGAAAATTCCCCAAATTTCCCCCCGGGCTCAGCCGCTCCTCGCCCTCCCTGGGAGCGAATAAATCTCCCAAAATTCACATTTTTGGGATTTTTTTCCGCCCATTTTTTCTTTTTTTTTTTTTTTTTTTTTTTTTTCCCCTCCTCCTCCTCCTCGCTCCGGCCGAATTCCGGGGGGGATAAATTCACTTTTTTCTTTTTTTTTATTTTTTTTTTTTTCCTGTCAAAAATCCGCTTTGGAGGCGAAGCCGGGCTGCCCTTTGTGCGCGAGATAAAAAAAAAAAACCACAAAAAACACAAAAAAACAAAATAAAAAAATCCAAAAAAATTCCCTTTTTTCCCCTTTTTCCACCCCCAAATCCCCATTTTTGTTTTTTCCCCATTTTCCCCCTTTTCCACCCCATTCCCCAGCCCTCGCGTTCCTTTTTATTTTATTTTATTTTATTTTATTTTATTTTATTTTATTTTATTTTATTTTATTTTATTTTATTTTATTTTATTTTACTTTATTTTATTTTA